GGCGAGATCCAGCATTGCTGCCCCAGAGCTGCCCTTGCAGGCTAGAGTCCGGCTAGAGAGCTATTGCAGATTCTAGTGATGCTAGTAGGTTCTGGCTGCCACGAGTCCTTCCACGTTGGAGTTTTTGCAGGTCTGGAGCTGTATGCAAGTGCAAGACAAAGTATGTATGTCAACTCTTAATGGGCTGTAGCACATGTAATGATTTGCAGCTGACTGCCTATCCCATTCCTCCGCTTTTGGTCTTGGATCATGGCAGCACAGTCAAAGCAGGAGACACCCTCCATGCCAACTGCAGTGGCAGCTACACCTGCTGAAGAGCAGCAAGTGGGCCTTGCTGCCAAGGAGCCGCCATCGAAGGAATTAGCTGCAAGAGTAGGAACATCCGGCGAGGGATTTCAGATACATGATTATTGTAGATTCCAGTACACTGACCCCTGAATCCAGCAAACATGTTGCGGGTATATATGCCATGCATGGAGTGCCTTGGGATTTTATATAGATCATTATAGATCTATTTTTTGGATCGTTCGGGACGGTTGTGGCTTTAGACGCCTTGGATGTGCGATGTTTGTCCAAGGGAGATCAAGAGTCACGACTGAAGACTTCCTGTAGCACTGCACCGTCTCAAGAGATACTGGTGTGTTAGATGGGCTTTAGTCACAGTCTCCGTCTTGCTATACACACACACGACGTTAAGCCATTCAGGAGGGCTCCTAAAATACCACCAGGGATGTCAAGGGAAGAGGAGCTTGCTGGTGGTCTACTATGGTCTACTAGAAAGCACCACCACTGGCCAAAAGGTATGTAACATTATGTTACGTAACACATTGGTTCTCATGGCAGGAGCCTGAAACTTTTGACCTACTTGGCAGTGCTGAGGAGCGCGAGTCTTGGTGTGCTTGATTTTTTAAAGATTGAACTCTTTTTCGGGGCTTGGGCGATTGGAGCACGGCCAGGAGATGCTCTCCGCTGCACCAGCGCCGGCGGCAATCCCGCCAGCCGCAGGAAGAATGTTCTCATGGACGGTCAGTGATGGTCAGTGTATGTCAGTCGCTCTTGATGCACTCATCTACATCCATGATGGTAGAAGCAGATGGTCTGTCTCATCTACATCCATGACATCTATATACATCTGCAGAAGTCCATGATGGTCAGTGGTCAGTGTATGTAGATGTCATGTGACTTCTGCAGCGCTGCCTGGTCGATTGGTCGCCGAGCTTCGACCTTGCATGTTCGAGTGTGCAAACTGTCGAGCTTCGGTGGTTTTGCGGCAGTCCTCGAGAGTTCTACTAGGCAAGACGTTCAATGAAAGAGGTCTCCTGCACCAGTTGGTTTGAGGGATGTCCCACCATTCTTCGTTTCATCTTGGGTTTGGGGTGCAGGATTTCTTGCATCAATCTAACTAGCAGTGTTTGCATCGACCTTCGTGTCGACCGGGTTTTTTCGGAGGAGACACCCTCCATCGGATCCACGACGCAGCGACGCCAGAGACGTGACCCGACGAGACGCCACTCGTCTCAGAGGGAGCCGTGCTGTCGCCAAGGAGCCCATAAGACCACTAAGAGCTTCAGAACCGGCTCGTTGGATGGTAGAGGTGTGAGGGAGGATGTGTTCTGAGTCTCGTTCCAAGCTACTTTCCTTTGGCGCGTGCGGTTCGAGGACTCGATCCACAGGCGACCCGGGTGAGCCATCGAACAGAACCTGGCACCGCCCTGGTGCGCACCGGGGCGGAGAACACCAGCGAAACCGCAGAAGAAAGGGGGGCGACCGGTGCGCTTGCGGGTGATGTGTGGTGAGAAAGGCATGAAACGGCCTCTTTAGGCTTCTCGAATTCTGTGGAACATCCCCCAAAAGATTCTCCAGAATCTTTATAGACTCTTGATGAAGAACCCCTCCATATGGAGATGTAAGACCATTCTGATAGGGGGGTTCTTTCGCTTTTCAAGATGATCCGTCTAAACAGACATGCCAAGACAAAGCACCGATGTGCGGCTCAAAGCTTTACGCGAAGACTGACCCTCTGTGGTGCCGGTTTTGAGGATGAGCCACTTGGATGCATGAGCCACTTGGCGTGGGTTTGGAGCAGTCGTGAAAAAGGTTGGTGAAATGGGTGAATTGGTTGGTGAAATAAAGTGTTGCTTGCTCCACAATCGGAGTTTCCACGACTTTCCCAAGTTCTCTTACCACCTGTGTGGGACCACCAAGGCGCTGGCTATGGCGGTGCGGCGCCCACAGGTCCTTGGGAGATGTCTCAAGAGTCTACAGCCAGAGCGACAGCATTACTCTACTCCAAACGTCCAAGAGTTTTTGGTGTTTTGGGAAGAAATCAAGAAAGGATAAGAAAGGCATGCTTGCTGGATCAATCTCTGGTATCACTGGTATCAAAACAGATGCTCCGACTGTATAGGAATTGACTGAGACCCTGTGATCCTTAAGAATCTGGTGCAACTCTCAAATAGATCACAATGGGAAGGCGAGTATGTACTTGGCGGAAGCCCTGTCCCCTGAAAAACGATTACTCTACACTGTACAAGACCATGCCAGTCCAGTTAGTGACATGTTCAGCTGTGTTTAAAACCAAAACAAGATGACCCTGGACACAAGGCGTGATCATACTTTTTGAGGAAGCTCGTGGATCACGATGGACCCGCCAGCTTCCCACACACTGTCTGAGAAACTGCAGGTGTCAGCAAGAACATCGCGGTGCTCGCGGGCGACGGCATTGGGCCGGAGGTCATGGTCGAGACCGTGAAGGTCGGCGGCACCCGGAACTGACTGATTCCCGGGCCGAGGAAGGAAGGCTCATTAATTGGGTTCATATAAGTAAGAGTGGTGTCAAGGACTGGCCTCGAAAACCAGAGCTTGGTAGTACCAGATGGTACCAGTAGCTGAGGAGGCTTAAAATGACAATTTGTTCCATGTCAGAGGGGGGTTAGTTAGAAGGTTCGGTTAGTGTGGACTCTTCCGACCAGTGTTTTGATCCGGCAGTGGGTCCGCGGAAAGAGGGCGTTTGGTTTGTACCACGAGTTCTCACAGTCTACTGTAAGCCTGGTTTTGGTATGTGGCTGGCAAAGTGTTCTCCCAAGAAAGCAAGCAAAGTCCTGGTGTCAATTTTTTGACTGAGTCACAGAGTGCTTCTTTTTTCGTGCCCAGTGGCCCCGTATGAGTCTTGCGTTGGGTGGCCCATGTTGGTTTCGACTCGTTTTGACCACGTCGACGTCGACATCAACCGGCCAACATCTGGAAGTCTGAGGTTTTGAAGAAGGTTGGGGAGCTGTATGGCCATAACTTCACCTTCAAAGACTACAAGGTGTGCGGCGTAGACTCTAGGTGCTGTGGCGCTCTGTGGGCTTGTGAGAGCCCGGCGCTTCTCAGCTCAAGATCTCTCCACATGCTGAATGATAGGCTTCTGAGAAGGTTTACTCACCCATGTCTTTGGAAGTCCTCGTTGCGGGCCACCATGATGTTCTTGGTCATGATGAGTGTGTTTGATCCATTTCTTTGGCGAAATCGTTTTGTATGGGTGACGGTTCCAGCGCTATTTGTTCCACCCTGCTGCCCATGCAGGTGAGAAGTGATCCAGCACCCCCGATCCATAGGCCTTTCCTGACGCAGAACTTGTGCACGTACCATGTGCCCTCCTTTGAACCTTCCAAAACGATCCAAAAGGAATCATCCATAATATTCCATAATCACCTCCCTAAAAACCACTCACTAAAGGCTGTAAAGTAGGCGCTGGGAGGCTGGGAGTCAAAGACCATGACAAAGACCTTTGGGTGACCCAAAAAGGAACTTCCTTCACTTGTGTGGGCCTGAATGGGTCAAAAAGAATTGGCCTCTGAACTTCTAGAGATTAGTGGATTGATGGGAATTTTCATGGGATCGCCTTGGGACGCAGGTGGGTGGTGCTGCCTGGGCCGCCACTGAGGCCGGTGGCGGGTTAGACTAAGGGAGTCGAGGTCGGGGTAGTGGTCTTTTCATTCTGAAAGGGAGCCACGTGTGGGGAACCCGCAGATCAGATTCTTCACCAACTCGTGGATGTGATGCGATAGTTGCTTCGTTGAGGCTTGTCTTCGGGGGTGCATGGCCGATGGCGTTTTAGACATCGGTTTGACAGAGCGAAGGGCCACAGATTGGTGAAGACTCGAGTCGCTCAGACTTGCAGTGTATCCACTTGCAGACTTTCTTTGGCCTTTCACTTGCACAGCAGATCACCTCATACAATAGACCATCTCTTCATACCTCTTCTTCAGTTTCTTTTTGGTGATTTTAAACATCCGCTGTTGCCACCCTGCGTTCAGTTCCTTTCCGGGCTGCCCTGGGCACCGAAGGCCGCCGGGGAGACTCCGTCGCACTTGCCGGCCGCCACGCTGGCCGGCTGCGAAGCCTCGGCCGCTCGGGGGGTACCCGACATGGCGGGCGGATCCGCCGGGCGGATCCGCCAGGGCTCGGGTCTGATAGGCAGACGAAGTTCTTACAAGTCTGGGGCGGGCTGCAGTAGAGAGAAGTGGGCGGGGCACGGATGAAGCGAAGCTGTGTTTCTGATGGTTCCAAGTGAAGGCCATGCTGATGCTGCCTTGGGAGTGTTTTCTTTTTGCTTTGGATGATCAGGATGGCCACACTCGGGCGATCTCGGGGTGCAACACCCCGAAGATCATGAAAAAAAGGATCCGCCTCCCCGAAGATCAGGTCATTGATTCATCAAGAACGCCTCGTTGAACCTGGGAGGTTCATCTCCACTCCGAAGGTCGTGGAGCTCCGGGTGAACCACCCGGCGATCCGACCCCCTCCCCCGAGGATGCGATCCTGTTTGGCTCCGTGGGAGGCCCGGTGGACCAGCAGCATGAGCGGCTTGGTGGTGCTTCAGACGCGGGGGGTCCACATGGTTGTTCATTTTGGGATGGATGGGACGAAGTGGTTGGTGAGGTTGGTTCTCACCTTCTCTTTCTTGGTGAGGTTGGTGAGGTTTCCACAACTGACACCTTCGGTGCACCATCACCCACCATCATCCACCGTGTCAGTGGGGAACAACCGACCAAATTCAACCAGCAACTCTCAAACTCCCGTTCGATTCATGGTCAACACGACCCCTCTGTCCTTCTTGTTCCCCCAACTGTCCATCTTCCAGCCGTCCCTCCGTCCTCCTGAGGCCGCAGTGGAAGGATTGCGAGAAGAACGCCCTGCTGGGCTTGCGGAAGCGCTTCAAGCTGGCGGTGAACCTCCGGCCCTCTAAGGTGCGGTACATCGGGGCGGACGTGGGTGGAGGGCGAGGTGGATGCAAGATGATGGAAGGGGTCCTGAAAAAAGGCTGCCAAACAGAATGTTGATGGATGTCATTTGATCATGGATCACGAAGACTTAGACAGGAATTCTGGAGCCGCCATGACCATGCACGCAATTTTCTCGAGTTTACCTAGTCGCTGGGGGATTGAGGTGTTTACCTTGCATCCCTTGTTCTTCCAAGCGAGCGAGCGAGCGAGCGAGAGAGAGAGAGAGAGAGAGAGAGGGAGAGGGAGAGGGAGGGAGCGAGCCTCGCGAGCATGTGGAAATCGGAACTTTGTATACAGAGTACTACAGAGTCCTGGTCTTTCATTTACTTGCACAATGGCTTTGCATGGCTTTGCATCTCCTGTGTTCCCGGTCTCCCTATGTCCCCCTATGTGGCTGTCCGGTTTTTGTCGCGCGTCGGCTCGACTGAGGTCTATCCATTCCTGTCACACCTGTGCCCTTTGAAGCCCTCGATCATAGGCGGTCCCGACGCTGGACATGTCGTGTGGGACCGATCGGAGTCGGCCAGACATCGGGTGGAGAAGCACCTTCACCTCGTTCGTCTCACCGAACCAACCACCTTCCCCCCCCCACCCCTCCTGGGTCGTGCGTGCGGAGGCTCACCGCATGACCTGCATGCGACGGGGGTCGAAACCGAAACGACGACGGTCCGTCGCGACGACGGTCCGTCTCCGTCGCACGAAAATCCTTCGGTGCTTTTCAGATCCCTTTGATTGAAATATGAAGATCAATCTCGGTGGCCGAAGGTGGATTGGACTGGACAACTTCTGATGTGGCGTACGGCTGTAGATCTCAGACCCAAGGTTTACTCTAGAAGCACGTGATCTCAACAGCTCATGTGAAACAATCAATCCTGACAAGTCCTCAGTCAAGCTCCTTTGTAAGGACGTCCCTACCATCCGCTTCACTTCGGTGAACCCACTCTCCACCGGTGACTCGCTCGCGGTCCGAAACACCGTCGCTCTTCGAGGCACCGGCGTTGATATGGTGATCATCCGCGAGCTGGTCGGAGGCCGCCGGGGCGCTCCTCGCTCCGTCCCGGACCGACCGCTGAAGACCAAGATGTTTTCAGCACCGAAAGTCCATCATTTGTCTTGGATATTCAGTTTTTCTCTAGAAGCGGGGTCTTCTCAACCCAGCTTCTAGGATCTGTCCCTCACACATAGTTAAGTTGCCCAAAGCTTGACCCAGCGAGTTACACCCCTGGAAGAGACCCACATGGAACATGAAAACCAATGGGTTGTAGAGGAAAATGGTCTTGCAAAGGTCCATTTTCAGGTTCCATGTGAATCTTCCCAGGTGTACACTTATAGCTGCCGATGCACTCAATGAAACTAGCTGATCGTTTCGTGGCATCCGGCACCCACTGCTACCGCGGGGTTGGGGCGGTCTCACAAAACCGTCTGATACCACTGACATCTGACGTAAGACGTTTGACGTAACCTGAGAAGTGATGAGTCAATGATGATCTATATGAGGTGATCCACTTGCAGCTACATTGCCAGGGCCTTTACATGGTGCACCTTGGTTTCTAGTGTGACCCCTGGCATTCCACAACATTGGAGATCCATTTGTCCAGCTGGCTGGAGGTATCTACTTTGGTGAGCACAAGCGAGAGGGAGACAAGGTCCGCCCATGGAATTGTCCAGAGGGTGGTCTGAGACCAGTGACTGGGTTCGGTGTCAGGACATTGCAACACTCCCTGACTTTTTGGGGAGAGTCAAGACATGTTCAAACTTCTTTTTCATGGATCTGAAAAGGCAGGCGAGCCTGCCATTCTAAGCTGGCAATTCTAAAGCCTTAGATCCTGATTGATTAAACCCTTTCAGATCCTTCTTGGGTGTTCATGGGTTGATGGAAGATTTGAAAAGGCGAGCCTTTGAGCCTTTGAGCTCGTGAGTTCTGATCATTGAGAACTTCATGGATCGCATTCAGTGGAGGGGGGATCCATGGTGAAGTTCTTCATTTTGGATTCATAAGAGACTTCAGAAGAGGGGGAATACTTCTTAATTCAGTGCGAGGGTTCTTCCATTCTTGGAAAAACACATGAGAAACATAGAACACACATGAACACACACCGTTCTTCTTTCCTTTTCGTCGACACGAAACAGCTGACTTGTTTGGAAAAGCCACCGCTCGCTGGCACTGGTCGTTTGCTCGTCCCGAGATCCTCTACGCCCGTCGGCCAGGCGTTCGATGTGATGGAGTACACGGCGCGGACGCGTCAGAGCGTCCGAGTCGTCGACAGAGACTGGTGGATGAACATGGAGGAGCTGTGGAGTATTGAAGCAATCCCTCCAAGGGAGGGAGATGAGATTTGATCAAAGATTGGGTTTTTGAGTGCTGACGAAATTGTCCTAGGTTTGTGGGAGTTCTTGGCCTCATGTTGAACTTTTTCTTTACCACTACATACCACTACCACTACAATATCATATACTCTTATATATATATATATATCTACTTGCCTGCACCTCGCAACCCCCCAGATCTACACAGTCAGTCTACTTCTACTCGCAACATCCGCCAAAGTCCGGCCTCGACTCCCAGGGCCCAGACGCCTCGTCAGGTGGAAGGCATTCGGAAGCCGATGACCTTCGCCTTCGAGGCCGCCCGGTTGAGGCGGAAGAAGGCCATCCGGGGGGTCCGTGGAGTCGGGAGCTGTGTGGGGGGGGAAGCGACCGGGCTCGGTGAGCTGTGAAGAAGAGAGTGAAAGAGGTCTGAGTCTTTCAAACATCGATGGTGCAGCAAGCAAGGAGTGGGGTAGGGCTGGGCAAGTTGTGCGGGGTCACTTTCGACCAGCCAGTTCTGCTTGGGTTGACATAAGTGAGAAGCCTCGTGTTTGGTGCTGCATGGTGTTACTATCTCTCCGTCGCCGGGAGGTAACGGTCGTGGACAAGGCCAATGTCTTGGAATGCTCGCGCCTTTGGCGCGAGGCGGATGGTAAGAGGGGGGAAGGTCGTGGTTTTCGTGGTAGTATGACTGATTTTTGATGTAACAAATGCGGGACTGAAGCAATATAGCAATATGGGGGGTGGGGCGGGATGCATGTTCTTTTTGCAGTGCCAATTTTCTATGATTTTCTTGGGTGTGTTCTTCAGCAGAGACAAAAAGACTCGCAGAATCACGTCAAAATACAGAGCGGGTGAGCCATGATACTCATGATTCTGATCATCATGGGTGGTGACGTTTCAAGTGGAGGAGTTCTGACTCTGAAGCTTTTCTGAAGCAGAGATTCCCCGATTCGATACAACATGATCAAACCCGGATGTTGTGTTTTTTTGTGTCTGACAAGATACGGAGGTTGAAGGTGGGTTGCTGATGGTTGCTGAGAGGCTGGAAGATGGCTCAGGCTCAGACTACTACTTCCAACTCACCTTGTTTGGCACCAATTTTCCTCAGACCTGCGTCAACCACTGTAGGCCAACAAGGGGGTCGGAGGACACCGTGACACTCCAGGGGATCAGAGCGAAATAGATTCTCTCTCTCTCTCTCTCTCCCCGTGGTGACTGGTTCCAACACGCTGACAGGTCGCGCGGGAGGTGCACAAGGGCTACCCCGATGTGGAGCTTGACTTCATGCGCCCGGGGGGATGGACCGTGACGTCGAGGAGTCAGAGGATGTTGTAGTTTGATGGAACTGGAAACAATGAAAGGAGCCCCTAGTAGCGTCCTTGCTCCTAGTAGTAAGGCCAGGAGCCCCTAGTAGCGTCCTGAGAAATTCAAGCAGAGAACATCCATTTGGGCCAAGATTTTGCTGCATGCCCCTTTCTGGTATCAGGTACATCGACAATGCCTGCATGCAGGTCATTCAGAAGCCCTCCTTCTTCGACGTGGTAGCCACCGGGACCGGGCCCGGTGTTCGCCCGGCACCGTGACCGGGGTGAAACGAGGCATGATTTTCGGCCAAGACGTGACACGTGGAGCTGACTGACCCCCTGGATGAATTGCAGTTCTGGCAATGGACAAAGTCTTGTGGTCCAATGCTGAAAAAAAGGTCCGCAGCTTGGTCACGAACGGGATGTCCTCATGCGAGGTGGTGCATAGAAACCTGTCCATCAGACACCAGTACTGTATAGGGCGAACCCAATAACCCGCGAAGCAAACTGGATGTCCGGATGGGGTTCTCCTTCCGCGCCTGGGCGCTTGCAACCGCCGTGAGGAACATGTTTGGCGACATCTTGTCCGACGCGGCCAGCGTCCTGCCTGGCTCGCTGGGGCTCATGCACCTGGCCGATGAAGGGGCAGGGGCTGGGGCTGGGGCCTGCAGAGCTGGGTGTTTTGGTGGGAGACCCGGTGCGTGGCGAAAACCGAAAGCGAAAAGGGCAGGGTCGCAGTCATGTCATCAAGAACGAAGAGGAAACGCCATGAACCTGGACAAGTACCTGCCTTCTCAATACGAGCTCATGAGTGAAGACATCGTGCCGTGCAGGCTGAGCCATGTGAACTTGCGAAGCCTTTTTTCCATAGGCTTTGAAACGGTCTTTCGTGGGCCATTTCGCACATAACATGGTCTTTCATCGACCGGTCGGCCCGGCCTTGACGCGCGTCATTTCAAAAAAAAGTGGCTGGCCACAGTTATGCGGGATTCTTTTTGTGGGCCTGTTAACTGCTCAAGAGGCCAGCACCAAATCCTGGACCTATGCTTTTGGGGCTTCCTCGTTGACCATTTTGCCTTTCAATTGGCACCCCATTTTGCATCTATAGAACCGATCCCCTTGCCCTTGAAGCTGGTCCTTATAAACAACATGTCCTTTTTTTGAACGAGCCAATGTCGACCATCGCCTTTCAAAGGGCACTGAACCTCCGGCGCCCGCCGGGTCCACCACCCCGGACGTCCGCGGGTCCCGCGGGTCCCATGCACCTGACTTTGCAGGCACGGTCAGAACCGTGAAATGAATTGGAGTTTTGTGATAGGTCTTGGGTATTTGGTCACTTATTCACGGTAAGGTTGGTCTGGTATAAGGGGGTTACTCTTGACATCTGTTCAGCTTCCGTGGTGTCTTTATCAATCAGATTTATCTGTTCAAGAAACCAAGTGAACGTGATCTACCTGGTCGTATGCCATTTTGGCTAGAAGGTGATCACCCCAGGTTAATCAAATTGAGGTTGAGCCGTGGGAGTTCTGTCTTAAGGGCCTGGGAGTGATCACCAAGGTGGTGGTATTTAGGCATCCGCAGCCATGTCCGTGCCACCTTTTGTTCGCCAGCAGTCGCTCGCTGTCAGCAGGGCAATCAGGCCGGAGGATTCGGCTAGCAACATTAGCTCAGCCAGCTGGACTCAAGTGCCGGGCCCACCAGACGTGTTTTTCTGGAACGGTCCAATTGATCAAGCAGACGATGATGACCTTGATCTTCCCCCTGCCGATCTGGAACTTCCAAAAATGGTTGATCTGGATAACAAAGTGAAGGCTGCTCAGGAGTCCACCAAGTCAGTTGACCTGGACCCGCCAGCTCAGGCTCAAACACCAGCTGATCAGCCAAGTAGGCAGGAAGTGGATCCAAAGCCAGCCCCAGCTGCTAAGGCGAGACCACAGATGGCTGCTCAGTCATCTCAACTTCACCTACCATGGCGGCTCCAGTGCCTCCAGCAGCAGCCTCAACAGCAGCTCCGGCGACTCAGGCTGCCCAGAACTTTTTGGCAGGCACCAATCCTCAGTACGGATCACGGAAGTTGAGGAAGCAGGCTGAGAGGGCTGCAAGAAAAGGGGCAAGAGCTATCCGCTTTGGACAGATGGGCGGTGTTCACAATGCCCTGAGCGCCACCTTGCCACCTTACCTCAGGCAGGTGGGTTGCCTAGGGTTGCAAAAGACAGGCAGTGGAGTGTTTGTTCTCTGAGTCTCATGTCAGTGGCCGTTCGTTCGTCGTGCTGAGGACATTTTCTTTCGTCGCCAGTTTTTTCGAGTCAGAGCTCTTGAGGTAAGTGTTTCCGCAGCCATGGTCGATCGTACCGTCTATTCCGATAAAGCCAGAACTCCCGACTTGCCACTCAGGCAGATTTTCGGTCGACAAAGGGTGCCAACAGATCTGTGTAAGACTGTGGCTGACGCTCGGCTTCTGACTATGGAAACGTTCGCCATGCTCGGAGACACCATCACCGGTGTCAAGACATGCCTCAAGGCCCTCATCCCGGATCCGGCCGCACTTGGGGCCGATGAACCGGCTCGGGAACTCGCACTGACTGACGACTCGCTGCGGTGTGGAAGACGTGCTCAACCATGCAGGACCATTTCGCCGCTCGGCGAGCAAAGATGGAAGAAGACCCATCCAAGGTGCCCAAAATCCCATGCGAAGACCATGCCGAATTCCGTGTTCAGTTCATTGCCAGGCATCCGGATGTGCTCTTGCCTCACCACCGTGAGCCCCATCGGAAGTTCGTGGAGCGGCTCCAGAGAGACTTCTTGGTTCATGGGGCCGTGAACTTCTACGAGGTGGGCAAGATGCGCACCCGCAATGAGTCGATCGCTCAGAAGTCGGGCCTGAGCAAGAACGCAGAGGATCTCTTGAAAGTGGTTCAGGTTGATCAACCTACTCATGCTGCTTCGGAATCTCAGGTTATGGACAAACTGCATGCATTTTTCGTGGCTCTTGAGTATCTCAATATCTGTGAGTTCTCATACAAGGCTGGACCCCTCCAATACCTGTCAGACTTGGAGGAATGGCGCCACGAGAACCGTGGTCTCGCTCTCCTCTTAGCCGCAGACACCCTGATCAGGAAGGTCTATCGCTTGAACTCAGATCACAAACAGGCTTACCAGACCTTCTCCTCAGCCTTGTTGGAAGTGCTCCGGAACCACAAGCAGTTGTGGAATGATGCTCGGTCGAGCGCAGAGTTAGACAAGTTCAAACAGGCTGGACATAGCTCTGCTCCTACCACCCACCCAGGGGTCAAGGCACGAAGAGGCAGCGATCGAGGACTCCACCGGCTCCGACTCCCAAGGCTCGCAAGAACAAAGCGAGGCGGGAGCGCGCCAAGGAACAGCTCAAGGCTCTCCGTGCCACTCAGACTGGTCAGAGCGGGCCGCGCAAAGACAAGCCAGGAGGCCCGCCCATGGGGATACCCGGATCCCGGCTGAGGAGTGGACTCGCGTGAACTCCTTCAAGTACTCCGGTCCTCGGCGCTGCCCGTTCTACAATTGTTCAAGTGGCTGTCGGTTTGGTGATCAATGCAAGCACAAGCACGCCTGTGTCGAGTGTGGCCAAGGCCACCCTTGGCACGGCAACCACTGAACAGTCCTGGGGATTTTTCAGGAGCGGCGGCGCAAGCCCCCTCGCCCCAGGTCAGTCGACCTTGGCACACTTGGGCAGAGGTGCCAACACGAGTTGATCAACTTCGAACTTTTGCCCCCTTCTTTCTGGAGATCTTCGCTGGTACTGCTCGGCTGACACAACATGTCTGCCTCCTGGGTTTGCCGGTCCTGCCTCCGGTTGATATTGAGATCTCTGAATGGGTACCAGTGGCTCAAGATATTCTGGACGCTACTTTTTGGGACCAGCTGTTGATTTTCGCTCATGCAGGTGTTCTGTTCTTGGTGCACCTCGGGACACCCTATAACACCTTCAGCTCAGCCCGGAAACTAGACAATGGGCCGCCTCCTTTGCGATCGAGAGCGTGTCCTTTGGGCCTACCAGATCTGTCTCCTGACAACCAGGCATTGGTTTTTCTGGGCAACATGTTTCTGCACCGCTCGGTGGAACTCGCCGGGGCCGTTTTTCTTGCTGGAGGCAACTTCTCGATCGAGAATCCGCTGCTCAGCTTGATATATCGGCTACACCACCAATGCATTGGTTGGCAACCCAAGCTCGCACCATCGACTTGGACCTGGATCAGTGTGTTTTTGGGGCTCCGTCGGTGAAACCTACTCGGCTCCGCGTCTCTTCCCTTCTGGAGGACGTTCGCAAGTCTTGCCCAGGTGATCATTCCCATATTCAGTTGAAGGGCAAAGTGTGGGACGCTCGCAGGGGCAAGATGGTGTACCGCACCAAGCTCGCTCAAGAATACCCTCACGCACTTTGTGCTGTGCTCGCTCTGGGCATTCAACGACTCGCTCAATGTGACCTGTCTCATCTGCAGTCGTCGTTCGACTTGCATGGTGACTCCACCGCAGGACCGCAAGCGTGCGCTGGGCTCCTGCAAGCCTTGGCTGGGTCACCGGCAAGAGGCAACTGCTCAGAGAGCTCTCGCTGCTGGCTACCAGCTCAAACGAGGCGCTCAGAAGCCTCTCCTGGAGATCGAGATGGAGCCAGGTCAAGCGATCGAATGGGCCCTAAGTGTGACTCACCCGTTCTCAGTGCCATGCGAGCTGGATCCTACCTTGACCAATGTGATCACCGAGCTGGCCGCGAACTTACCGCAGCTGGTCCAGACACGGCTGGATGCGCTCGCTCTCTGGGAACAACGTGCTCACCAGTTGCTGCCGGAGTCGGTTCGCCGCATCCGAGCTCTACCAGACGCGCATTTGCGTCGTTTGTTGCTCGGCTGTGGTGAGCATCAGACGCCACAGCTCGGCCAAGTGTGCCATGTCGCTCTCTACGAGGCCATGCTACACGCGCGCGGCTCGCCTGACACTGCGCCCGCACAACAGCTGCTGCACGGCTTCAGTATTGTGGGGCCTATTGCTCGCTCAGGCCGCTGGCCGGACTACAACAAGGTCCAGAAGGTTCACGCTGTGGAAGACGCTCTGGTGAGGGCCTGGGATCTTCGACAGAAAATCGTCGCTCGAGTTAAAGCGGTTCCGGTGTCTGACAACCTTCAGAAGATCTGGGACGCCACGATCGAGGACTGCCAGGAAGGTTCTTCAGTGGGCCCCTTGGCATCAGAAGAAGAAGTCTCAGAGTTTTTGAGTTGTGAAGATTGGATCCCAACACAAAGATTTGAAGTTGTTCAATAGAATAAAGTTAGAGGGTGCGACAGCGCCACCACCAACATGATCAATCAGATAACAGAGATCACAGAGAAGCTGCAACTCCCGTCGACGGACTCGAATGTGGCAGCTCTGCGCAAGCTCAGATCTGAGCTCCCGACCGCTGGATTGGCAGGCTGGGTCTTGGACGAGAGAAAGGCCTGTAGGCAGGTGGCCATTCGTCCTGATCAGCGAAAATTTTCTGTGATTTGTCTTAAGAACCCAATGACTGATCAGCCATGTTTCTTTGTGATGATCGGCCATTCGTTCGGTCTTGTGTCGGCAGTGTACAACTACAACAGAAGGTCTGCCGCCATTAACGAGTGTTTGGTCGGATTGTTCAATCTAGTGGCTTTCAGTTTTTATGATGATAAGTATGGGTTCGAACCAGTCGAGTCGGTCAGAAGCGCTCGCCTAGCGGCTGAGTGTGTTCACACGTGGCTTGGCGCCAGATATGACCAAAAGAAACTGCAGCTCGCGTCATCCCCCACGATCTTGGGCGTGACCTACAACCTGGAAGAGATGCAGCTTGAGATCAAGCCAGACAGGCGAGCGGATCTGCTAAGTGAGATTGGCTCCATTTTGGAATCTGGTTTACTGGACCCGGGCACTGCGGGAAAGGTCAAGGGCAAATTAATGTTCGGAGCCTCGCAACTCTGGGGTAAAGTAGGCAGGGCCTTTTTGAGAGTAATTTCAGAGAGGCAGTACATGAGAATGCCGCTCGGGCCTAAGTTTGGTTTAGATCAAGCCTTGAAGGAAGCTCTGCAACAGTGGTCGAAGCTCATTGATGCAGGTCCCCCAAGGCCTATCGATCGACAACTTTCCAAACCCGCCGATGTAATTATTTTTACTGACGGATTCACTCCGGACCCTCGTGAGTTCGTTCGGCCGCGGCTCCCGGACCGAGTTGGCGCCGTAATGTTTGACAGGAGGCTTGTTCGGCCGAAACAGTTCTCTGAGGTGATCCCCTTTTCTGTCAGTTCTAAATGGTTGGCTCGGACCACCCAAATTATCCCGATCGAGATGATTGCCCCCATACTTTCGTTGGCCACTTTCCGTGATCGGTTAGTGAATGCCGACGTGATCTTGCTCATAGACTCAGAAGCTGTAGAGGCCGCTTTGATCAAAGGCTACTCGAGCAAATCTGACGTCTGCGAGCTGATCTCCGTGTTTTGGGAGCTAGCCCTCGAATTGAGGTGCAGGATCTTCATCGATCGGATTTCAACTGATGCCAATCCTGCAGACTGGCCCTCTCGCAATGAAGAGAGGCCGGGAGGCAGGATGGCAAACAGTCAAGGCTGTCTGGCCGCCAAGCACGATCGTATAAGTTAGGGCCTGGGGAGTTGATCCAAGCTTCATTGGTCAGTTTAGACCTGCCTGCAGATTTCAAGTTCTCTTGTTGCTTCTTGTGTTTTGTTCTGTGTTTGATTTTACCTCGCTCAACACGAGATGGCAAAGCAGGAAGGACACTGATCATGAGGGCTTCAAACTTTGAACTCAGGATCGCTCGACCCCATGCCTGACGCGATCAAAAGGTTGAGTGCGGCTGCAGTCTGTCTTTTTACAAGGAATGCTGAAAGTGTGTGTTCACACACACGCCGCGGATGTTTTGAGTAGGTCACTTATTCACGGTAAGGTTGGTCTGGTATAAGGGGGTTACTCTTGACATCTGTTCAGCTTCCGTGGTGTCTTTATCAATCAGACTTATCTGTTCAAGAAACCAAGTGAACGTGATCTACCTGGTCGTATGCCATTTTGGCTAGAAGGTGATCACCCCAGGTTAATCAAATCGACCCACCCTCCCTCCCTGCAGGGGGGGAGTTGATCCAAGCTTCATTGGTCAGTTTAGACCTGCCTGCATATTTCAAGTTCTCTTGTTGCTTCTTGTGTTTTGTTCTGTGTTTGATTTTACCTCGCTCAACACGAGATGGCAAAGCAGGAAGGACACTGATCATGAGGGCTTCAAACTTTGAACTCAGGATCGCTCGACCCCGTGCCTGACGCGATCAAAAGGTTGAGTGCGGCTGCAGTCTGTCTTTTTACAAGGAATGCTGAAAGTGTGTGTTCACACACACGCCGTGGATGTTTTGAGTATAGAGCTTTTTGGAGTTTTTGGAGCTTGCTTGGTGGAAAGAACCCTCCGACCTACCGGACTGGAACCCAAATAGACAGATCATTGTCAAGTTGTATCAAATTGTCACAAGCATTTGCAGGAGTCCCGGCATGGTGCTTTGTCTTCGTAGTAGAAAATTAACAGAAAGGAGCTGAACACCCAGAGCACCGCACCACTGAATTCAAGCGCGGGGTGCATTGCATCCAAACGGGTGGCCTTGGGCGTCGGTGTTGAGGCCCTCCGCCTCACTGGGGGATGGGCTGCACATGTATGAGCCCAGTGGTGGCAGCGCGCCAGACATTGCAGGTGGGACCAAGAAAAGCACTTAGGCCCATTTGGGTCTTCACAAGGGAGGAACAAACATATGTAATGTATGGGTGTAAACCGGTCCGTGCCAATTAGAATTCGATGCGACTCAGATCAACCCCCTGTGAAGACCAAGCAAGACAAGAGGTGCGAACCCATGAGGTTTGAAAGATGACGTGACGTAGACATCCAGACTGCTGGCCACCCAAAACTTTCTCCCAAACTGCTGGAAGTTCTTCCAGCTACTTCTACTACTACTACTGCTACTGCTACTGCTACAACTACTAGCAACAAGAAGCTACTGGTAACAAGGGCATCGCTACTAGTAAGTCGATCCGGAGGGCCAAGTTCCACGTGGCCAGGGAAGAACGCCGCCAACCCCATCGCCCAGATCCTGAGCGGCGCGATGATGCTGAGGTTGGACGATCCATGAAGATCAACTTTCTTTGGTTGGAGGGGAGGGTGGAGGGGAGGACGCCAACATGTGGGATTTTGTGTTGGTGATTTGGGGCACGGATTTTGTTTTACATTATTTAGGACAGAGAGCAATGAAACAGCCATATTTGAGCATCTCTCATGCCATGGCAGAGCATCCCTCCTAACCCTGCAGTCCTAACCCTGCAGGTATTCCTTTCAACTGGAGAAAGAGGCCTCTGCTGTCGAAGCCGCCTGCGAGACAGTCCTGAGGCCGAAAGCACCCAGCTGCAGGGTGGGTTGAAGGAAGTCTGGCGGGCTGGATAGGGTGGGTGACCGAGATATCGTGGAGTTCGCTCATCTGAAAAGTGGGGATTACTTGTTGGAAGCAGCGTTGCCATGGTGATTTGGCATCGAAATAGCGGCAAGGGGTGACTAAGGGATGACTTTGTCAGGTTCCTGTATAGCTCGGTGGCCGAATGCAGAATGCATCCCGAACTGTCTCAGCAGTTGTGAGTCGCTGAAGAAAGGATAGCACCTCTCGGTGCTCAACGGTGTTCAACGACCTCATGTTCCCACGGACGACTTGGTCCCTCGCTTCCGGCCGGATCTGAACATGCGTTGGACTGCGTTTTACTTGTGATCGAGAAGCTCACTGGAGGTCCGGGAAGCTCACTGGAGACCTCCTGGAAGAAAGTGAACGTAAAAATGCGGTCTCCACCAGCGACATAGGCGCCCAGTGTCCGCGGCGTGGCGTGTCGCGGTGTTCGAGATACTTACGAGATGCTGGGTAGATGCTGAAGTTGAAGTGGTTTCACTTCAGGTTGCAGTAACAAGTGCATCGCTACTAGTAACAAGTGCATTACTACTAGTAGCTTCTAGCTAGTAGTGCTCTTGTTCCTAGTGGCATATTCTTTTCTTAAAGCTGGTGCGTGACCGCAAGCTAGAGCTTGCATTGAACACAATCCCCTGCATATCAGTTGCGTGGAATGACCCGACCGTTCCATTCTTCCACCCCCAATTGGCCCGACCGTTTGTGCGATGGAGATTGCCTGCGAAGATGCGAAGACACTTGAAGATGCCAAAGAGTAGAGAGAGAGAGAGAGAGAGCACTCGGCCATGATGAGAACGATTGGATTCTTCACCTGAGTTTCTTGATGTTTTTTGATAATATAATGATATATATATATATAATCTATTATGGTGACATGGATTAATTATCTACAGGGGGTTGAGGCGGGGGTCCTTGTTTTCGTCTCGACTCATTCCGACTCATTCCCCTCGACTATTTCAGGCCACATGGGCCGACAGTTCCAGCAACTTGCAGGTGAAGCCGTGGTGAAAGCTTTGACGGCTTAAAGATCGCGAGCCGAGCAAGCGCTTTGAGCAAAAGGATTTCGTTGGCTTTTAGGATTGGCGTGGTGGTTCCTAGATGCTGTGAGGCATCCAATGGGCTGGCGGCTGCGAGCTACGTGGTTGATTTTTGTTGAACGCGGGCGCAGATACGAGGCCTTCCGAACGCTTTTTCTACGCACCTTTCGGCCCAAGAATCCGGGAACCGTACCGAAAGTCCAGTCCATGTGTCAAACTGGGGCATTTTCAAAGACGCAGATGTATGGCGCGGCCACAAAAGCACGGTTCAGCCCTAAAAGACACAAAATGCTGACAGTGAATCTTGCTCGTGTTGAGATTGGCGGTTTGTGCCATGTGCCCTGCGAACTGCAGCACATAAGCCAGGAGCACCCGATTTCCACAGACGAAAACTGGTGACATCCACCGGAAGCGAACATAAAGGGACGGAGACTAGCTTCAAACCCATTGCTTCTGGGTGAGACCCAAATCCACTGGGATTCGCAAGCGAAATAGTGCACTTGTTGGAGCATCTCCCAAGTGTTCCGCACAAAGAAAGAAAGAACCCTCAAAACGAAGAGCAGCCAAGAATTGAGAATATACCACCCAGTCTGGTTTGGAACTCGAGCGTTGATTTGGTCGGGTCCAAGAGTCACGGCGTGAACATGGAAGTGGATGGAACAAGAATGAACAATAGCAGACTCAGACTCAGCAGACTATCTCCATCAACCAAGCCAAGTGGATCACCTCTTCGCAGTTCGTTCAATCTGGAAGGAAAAAGCAACAGACAAACTTAGCATCGACGGATATCGACGGTATTTGGATGTCTTCGCTACAAACATCCATGTGCATGATTGTTCACATGCTCCTTCCATTTTCTGAGCCCACCCCTGAGCTGCGTCCCAACACACGGCCGCCCAGGTCTCCAATGCCGGCGCTGCCCGCCAGGGACCCGGGTAGAGAGGGAGGGATGAGGGACCGGCGAAGCTCGACTTCGTCACCTGAGGTCCCCTGTCGGGAGATCCTGGCGGAGGCGCTCAAGGACACCTTGCAGCGAGTGCCCATCGTCCGGGATGCCGAGTGGGCCGGATATGAGATAAGTTAAATAAATATAAAATAAAATATCGTATTCATGAGCGTGATACATTTTAATCAGTTTTAATCAACATCAACATATCGGGACCGCTGAAATGCTCCGACCTGGATCCACGAGGGTCCGCCACAACTGACCGGGTCCGCCGTCCGAGTTTTGAGGCGGATCCTTCGGTCCACTTCGATGGCTTCTTCACCTTGGCCGCCCTCAGGGCGTTGATGGCGGGATGTGGTTCTAGAGCATCGGTGCGTTGAGGGCGGTGAGGGTGGTCCGATGTTGGTGAGGGATCAACCATTTGCTCCAAGCCATGGTTCAAGAGCCGAAGGCTGGCAGAGGAATTTGCGACTAAGACGCCACCAGTGACTCTGCCCTGGGGTCCAAACCAAGCCCCAGCACCTCCATGTTTCTTCCTGAAACCCAAAGCACGCACATGCTGTTCTCCTCTGGTGGGGTTCAACCTCCACTGCGGTCAGATGCTCTTCATCCTTTTGGGGATCCTTCTCCTTGCGGTCTGGAGAATTGCCGAGATCGCGGAGCCAGCCGGGGCGCCCGGAGCGGGTTTGCATGGTTTTTGGGGTGTTGGCCGCCAAGAACAGACCAGGGAGGGGGGTGGCTGGAGCTGTGATTGTGGGCACTGAAGGGTGTGGGACCCTGGAAAATCGAGGAAAATCAGGAAACTACCTGAGAAATGAACAAGAACTGTCTGAGACTCTCTTCTACAATCAACAGTGGAGACTTGAAGAACCCACCGAAAGAAGCACTGGTTGGAGCACTTCTAGTGTCAAGTCTCAAGATTTTTTCCGGTTTGCCTTTCACCACACAGAGTTTGATCTTGTGCTCATCCAAACTTTGACTGGGCAACTTGCTGAGGATCCAGTTCCAGAAGTTTCCCAGAAACCGAGGCATTTGGGCATGCAGGGAATGGGGTGGTAGTGGTGGTAGTCAATGGCTGATATGCAGGAACAATCTGACATGTTTTACGTCAATTGATGTGCAATTTAGTTCAAACATGTTCAAACAGTCAAACGTTTGGTGTCACTCCACCGTGTTTCCTTCCATACACGAAGGTCCCCTAAGGTCTTGCAGGACCAGCGACGACAGGTGGTGCGTCGATTTCTCCGTGCTGGGCCCGGTGGCACCCCTGGCATCAACCAGCCAAGGCACATGATGCCAGCTTTGATGACGAATTCCGATGAACAAGAGAACGACCAAACCATACCCATAAGGTCTTGTCATGTGCATGAACCCCTGGGGTCAAGTGATGTTTAAGCAAGTTCATTGACATGACAAGACCCCCTACGATGCCCAAGAAAGAGTTTCGGCGCTCCCAAACCGACGACAAAGATCAATCCCCTGGCGCTTGGGGGCGCCGAAAGCGCTGGCGCGCCCCAGCGCCTTAGCCCCGGGAGGAGCCACTTGGCGGTGGACAAGCTCCTGCAGGTGGCTGCACCGCCGAGCACACTTCCGAGCACGCTCCCAACTGGCCATGGTCTTGGTTGGGAGCAAGACTTGTGGAGTGCCAGAAGAGGGGTCTTGGGACGTACAGGAGGTTATGACTCGCGACTTTCTTGATTTATCATGACTATTCTGCTTACAGCTTCTTGATTCTTTTAAGCGTATGCATTTGCTTAACACATGCTGACCACACATGTTCTCATGTTCGCCAAGAACGTGGAAAGGGCATGAGCGGTACACGACAAAATCCGTGCGGGCACAGTATGTACAAACGCGCTGCTGAGAGAACTCCTTTCTGAAAGAGTAAGAACCCTTTCTTTTTTCTCAATGTGAGTTGTGTGCAAATCCATTGAAAGAATCTACCACTCATCTCCCTGGTGTCTCTTTCACGGGGGGGCTTTGGGTTCTTCAGTGCTATGTAAATCGAGCACTACACTCAGGTCGAGGGCCGACACATTTGCCGGAGATTTGCCCTCCCTACATGAGAGCCACCCAAGGAGACCTCGCTTCGAGGCGATGGACGCTTCGTACTTTAGTGGTGGGGAGTCGACGGATTTCTCTACGGTGGTCACCGTGGTCTCGGTGGGGTGCAGACCCAAACCAAAAAAGCCGGCAGGGGGCAGGGTCGGTCTGTTGGGGGCATGTTTGGGGAGTCGGGAAGTTCATATGGGCCACTGATCAGTGGCGCTTGGAGATGAGTGAGACTGTCCGTGAGCGATTCGATTCCTTTCTGGGAGTTGGGGCTTCAAGAGCAGACGCCTTCCTGACTGCCGCACGTTTTCGGCAGGCAAGACTGGAAGGGGAGAGCGCACATGTCCTGATCATTAACCATACCATGGTGGGCTAAACTGGTGGAACATAGCATCAACGTGTAAATCTTTTCCTCATGTATCCTCATGTTGTTTTCTCCGTTGCAAATTTCCATTTTCCCGCAGGCTTGCTGTAAGGTGCTTGTTCAACAGAGAGCAGCCTGCTCAGAGAGGCCTCGGTAGATTGACAGTGTGCCCTGACCTGTGCACTTGCAGCTCTTCCCCCTGATCCCACCTAGCTGCCTCAGCCACTGCAGGAGCCGAGCTCTCTTTGCGCAGCACTCTGGGCGCGCTGCCCAAGACGGGCGCGGAGGTCTATGGCCTGGGCGGCATGGTGAAGAGGTCGGGTGGACTGCAGCTGAGCGGAGCACAAGAAGACACTCCTCAGGTGATTGAAGTGGTTTTTCAATGCACAAATCACCTCAACCTGGGATCCCAAGCATTCTCTTGCTGCTTTTCGCCTCCTCCAAACCGGGCGCCGACGCCGAACCGGGCGCCTCACGACGCCGTTCGACCGCCAGGGGCAGCCCCACGTGCCTCTTGACGGCGCAGCTGCGAGAAGGAGCCCGCGAGGGAACCGGGCGACGGACCCAGCTCTGCTCGGCGCGGACCCACCGCCGCGATGAAAGGTGTGGAATGAGGACATGTGAATGAGCTTGCCGTAGAGTCGAGATTCCTTTGGATCTAGCCAGACTCATTCCATACACGATCTTACACGCATTCCATAGCATACTAAGCACCAGTCGGTCTTCAGTGCGTGGCCTGAACAAACACTCTTCCAGTAGCGAATTCGATTCTTTGTCGACTCGTTGGCTTCTTGGCGTTTGGGTCCAGTGTAAAACATACCATATATTACCATATGGATCCATATGGATCCAATACCATTTATGACTTGCTTTTGTGACTTCTTTTCAGAGCATGACAACTTTTTTTTATCAACGCCGGGTCCGCGGTCTTCGCACGCGAAGGGGGAGGGATTGGGTCGGAAAAGGGGCATCCCCAACAAAGGGACACGCTTTGCCCATGTGATTTTCAAAAGGGTCCTCCAAGCCAAGCCAATAATTGGCAGAACATTTAAGATGCTTGGTCGGTCCATTGAGTAGTGGCGACAATGGGGGGGCAGACTCGTGGAATATGGTGGAATCTGTTAATCACGAAAGCTAGCGAAGCTAGCTGGAGTTACTCTTGCGATAGCAAGGTTTCTTTCGATCGGGTGCAAATCCTAACCCCTGATTTTTCAGGTCGAAGCCCCCCCCCCCCC